AAGGAAGGAAGGAAGGAAGGAAGGAAGGAAGGAAGGAAGGAAGGAAGGAAGGAAGGAGAAAAAGAAAGAAAGAAATCATTCGTGGCACATAGCAACTTAATAAAATGGGTTTCGGATCACTGTACCACATCCTGTCTAACTGATGCATTTACCTGAACACAACATCTACACTGTGAAGCATGGTGGTGCCAGCATCATACTGTGGGAGTGCTTGGAAGACAAATAGAGCTAGATGAAGGTTAATCCTGAAAGAAGTACTGTTATGGTACATTTACACCGCACAATAAAGGTGAATGATACGCATGTTGTCCCTATGTGAATGAGCACATTGAATATCACAGTAGATGAACAAATTGAGTGAAAGGAAACTGTAAATAGGCCAAATGGAGAAGAGAGTAGGCCAAAGCAAAAATACAATACACTGAACTCAATTTATGTGGGGTTAATGTAGGATGGAGTGCCATCCATCCATCTTCTCCTGTTTAATTAACCACTGGCCGGTGCCTCTCTCCAGTAGTCTATGGGCAAAGGAGTTGTCCACTCTGGACAGGTCACCAGTTTATCACAGGGCAACACAGAGATGCACAACCATGCACATAACTGCCGAGTACCCAGAGAGAACCCACGAATCCACAGGGAGAACATAGAAACTCCATGCACAAAGACCCTGGCCAAAGAATCGAACCCCAAACCGTCTTGCTGCAAGGCAACAGTGCTATAAACTGCGGAACAATGCAACCCATACCTTTTTTTTCTGTTTTAAACAGAAACCTTAACTTTATGGTTGCATTTTGTGTTTTCTTTCCCTAATATAGGCATTTATTTCATGTTCTGAAACGCATAGATGTGACAAACATGTAAAAAAATAAGAAATCAGGAATGGCGCAAACTCTTTTTTAATAAACACGGTATTATTCTATCTACAGCTCAGTTTCCTAGAGAGCATCATGCTGTCCATCCACCAGCGTCCATGGCTCATGGGTGTCTACGTCTTCGTTGTTGGACTTCCGCTGGTTCTCTTAGTTAGCTTCATTTGTCCTGACAAGGTACTTTAGTCAGTGATGTGAGCACGGTTGTATTCTGCAGCCAAATAGCTACAGCTGAATGTTGTGTATCACACGTAGAGGTTTGGCCCCCCTGACCAACCGTATTACTATAAGAAGACTGATGACGTCCAGCCAGATGATCCTGAGGTTTCCACCCGCAGAAAACCAGCAAGTGCTAAAGGTAGGGATGTTTTTCTGATTGTCCAAACAGGAACCTATTCACAGTCATTGGATTTTAAGTTACAGTAGCTGTCTTTGATATTTAAAACTTAAGAAATGTATTAAGTTCAGTGCACGTCTCTTTGTGTAGGATCGCGGATCACTGAACAGACCTCTGCAGAGAAAACATCAACTCACAAGAGGATGCTGAGCAAACACTAATGCTATTGGTTTACTGCATGACTAACCCTCTCATAAAATAGCAGACAGGCTGAAACGTTATCTCTGCTACAATATGGTCAAATTAAAAGCTAATCTGTCCTCTGTAAACTGAACCCCTACCCTCTAACTGCCATTGATGGACAATAAAAAGGAACTAAGACTAAAGTTATGTTGCTTTATTTCCAGCTGCAGGGTCTCTCTCTCTAACATTTGGGTAACCCAAGTTTCGTACTCAAGGTTTCCAGAAAAACTCCACTGCCAAGGTGTTAAACGCTCATATCAGTCACTTTATTAGTTCCGTTGGACTCATTTGTACTTTCAAGCACAATTGTTTTACTTTCCATTAGCTTAATTTGATATATATATATATATATATTCATTGATTTTTTTTTAGATCAATTTTCAGCTCTTCCAATCCAAATGTGTTAAGTAATTTTAAAGAGCTGCAAAGAAAAATAGATAGCACAGATAAGAGACAAAACACTGCAAACATGGGTAACAGTAACATTCACACCATCACAGAAATAAAATGGGATAAAAAGATAACATGAAGCCCACCGTCTTGCTCGCTGTCAAAAGCCAAACAGTGGAGGCCAGTCTGATCTGCCGAGGAAGGTCGCTCTAAGCTTCTACGCTGCTGCAGTGGTCGTCTATGAGCTTCCGCTGGCAGGGTTCTGCCCTCTAAGTTTATTTTTAGTGTATTTGTATTTGTTTTCTAGCAGTGTTTTGTTCTTGAGTTACTCTCTGTTCCCCCCTTGTGTTTGTTTCCTTTCCCCTTGGCTTCCCTCTAAATCAGGGGTGGGTAACTCCAGTCCTGGAGGGCCGGTATCCGGCAACTTTTAGATGTGTTCTTGACTTAACACACTTGAATCAAATAAATAGATCATTAAAAGGACTTGGGAGAAATTGATGGCATACTGGGGAGGTAATTCAACCATTTGATTCAGGTGTGTTGGATCAAGGATGAAACTAACTCAAGGACTAAAGTTGCCCACCTCTGCTCTATGCTGCCTTCCATCCACACCTGCTCCCAATCAGCTCATTAGTTTAGTCTTTGTTCTGTCTCCTATATATACTCTCCCTGTGCAGTTCCTCAGTGCTGGTTCTTTGTCTTTTCCTGTCTTCCCACGTGAATTTTCCCCTGAAGTTTCTGGTTTTGTGGTTCCTTGTATTTTTGTACTTTGATTTTTGGATTTTTACCCCAGTTAATTTATTAATTTCGTAGGGAAACGGCAGTTCTAACCGTAGCATTTCCGAATTCTCCCAAGTGGTGCCCGACTTTACTCGAGTGCATAAAGTGAATGTGATTGGTCGATTATCAAGGGGCCAGGATTGTTGTGGCGGAAGGTTCGCAAGCAAGTTTGATTGTGGCCGGTTTCTCTAAAATATCTTGCTAACCAGTTAGCAACTTAGTGCTAGTAGGATCCCAATGGGAAATTCCATTGGGACCAAGTAGCACTAAATTGGTGATTTGGACAGCGGAAACATGCAAGAGGAGGGGAGTTTAGTGTCGGAGGTCATGGAGAGTTCCGTATATCAATGGTCATCTGTCAATCCAATTTTTGGTCATAGCATCTTGATTCATATGTCACAGCTAATATACGCAACAGTTGAAATAAGAAATAAGATACATGTCCTTT